TCTTAGATATGGCTATACTGGATCCTAGAGGGTCTCTAACTTTGCCATTTAACCAATGAGTACATAAGTTGGTCTTAGATATGGCTATACTGGATCCTAGAGGGTCTCTAACTTTGCCATTTGACCAATGAGTACATAAGTTGGTCTTAGATATGGCTATACTGGATCCTAGAGGGTCTCTAACTTCGCCATTTGACCAATGAGTACATAAGGTTTGATTCAGGTTGTAAATAAAAAAACTAATTTGGCATAGTCAGAGAACAATTACACTTAGCAGGTGAGATGTAATGGCATTCTGTAAAGAGAAATTATGAAAATCATGACAAAAAGTTGGAAAAAAAAGGTTAAGAAATAGTGTGTGTGTGTGTGTGAGAGAGAGAGAGAGAGTTTATAGCAAAGGCATGTCAGGCTGTCTGCTGCATCCACCTAGGGGAAGTTAAGAAAGAGAATCAACTGAAAACTAGTTGAGCATGCACAAATTCCTAAGGAAACCATAACTTAAATAAGCAATGGTGCAGAAAAAAAAACACATCATCACTTATGATATTTAACAGAAAGTAATGCGACATATGGGTGTTATTCATGGTAAACTTGAGCTTTCACCCATTAATAGTTTGTAACCAGCCCAAGGAAAAATTACACGTAAATGTAAGAGAGGTTATACAACCGACTTAAAAACTTACATTGACCGTCACAAAATTAGGATCAATCTTCATAATTCATCAAGGCAGTTTACAAAAATATGCCTAGATGTGTTTGGAAGAGATAAACAAGTCATCTAAATGTAAATTGGTTGTTTCCATGGTTACACAGGGGCATGATGTGTAGGTACAAACTGTTAACTTGTGGGATGTGCAGTATCGTTGAATGGAATATTTTAGGACAGCCTTGAAATAAAACAATTATCCAGGGGGACTGAAATTGCAATGTTGGTGAGAAAATTGATAAATTATTGGTGGAAGGAGGATGAGGAAAAATGGTTATATTTAAGAAGGGGGATCAGGAGAGGAAAGATTAGGGAGTACTACATTAGATATGTTGTTTTGGAGAGATAAACAAGTTTTCAGCATGTAAATTAGAAGTTTTTACACAGGGAAAAATTGGAGGTATTAACATTATTCAGTACATAGAATTACTGAAAAACTTCCGGGGTTGTCAGCATTTAGTTCTTCACTATCCATGCAATGATGACTGGTACAATGAAAACTTAAACATCCAGAGTAGATAACAGTCATGTGTAAGAATAAAATGTGGCAGGATTTTGATAATGAAGCATAAAGTCAGAACAGTGTAAGGGCTACACATGGAAAGAAAATCAACATGAGAAAGTTGACACAAAAGATGATTTAATGACAGACGTAAACTGGGTCAACATAAGTTAACTGGAATACACCACCACAAACATGAATTACAAGCAATATTCATCTGTATTACAAGTCTTATACCTAGAATTACTGGTGAGGGTCCATACTGTTTCTAAGTTAACTGGAATACACCACCACAAACATGAATTACAAGCAATGTTCATCTGTATTACGAGTCTTATACCTAGAATTACTGGTGAGGGTCCATACTGTTTCTATCGGATTGTTTGTTTAACACATTTTTCTGAACTATTTATGCAACAACTTGCTTGTGGTTTCATGGCTTTGTTGGTTACACTAAGAATATAAAAGTCAAAAAAGATCTACACAACAGCATCACCAATATTGTAGTTAATCCTACCAATTACTGCTAGGGTTTCCTATGTATTTTACATAAAGCATGAGTGATTTCAGCCAATGTCTTGGTTAGTTCTTTACATAGAGTATTGCAACACGAAAAAACAAAACTGCTTAATATGATGCAATATATGGACTCCACTTGTACAGAAAAAATAGAGTAAATTCATTCAAATTGGTAATTTGAGGTTAAACAACAAGGACAGACACATAGCATAAATACACTTCACCCTGAGCACTCACACGATATTTAACAGTGTCAATAACACATTCAATCAAAGCAAGCTTTGATATAAACAAGTGTT